TGTTGGAAGAATTTAATTTATTATCATTGCTTCATGCTGTACTGTCGCTTTAAGGAACTGTTTGCTTCTCATATTATAATCTAGTGTGCTCAAGACTGATGGAGAAATGACCACATACAGCCACATTCCCATTCACACCCACCTTCTTACTCCATACCCATTCATACACTCACACACGATCACATGATATGTATTCTGATACTTTTATAAACTCAATAAAATTGCAGAGGAACGGTGTGGCTACTCAGTGTTGATGAGGAAGCTGCCAGAAGAGTAAGCTGCACTCTCCCCTTTCAAGTAAAAAATCAAGACGTCTTTTGTGTTGTTACTTTGTCGTCATATATTTTAGAATAAACCTGACACAGACCCTAGACCTAAACAATTGGCACACCGTTACAATTAAAAAATACAAATCCGTATAAAATTACAAATAATGAAAATGTCTCAAAAACTCCCCCTCCTCCTAATATTTGGGGTAAAGGACTCTCTGAATCTGTCCGTCGGCCTTGTCAGTGCCCAGCCATTTCCCACAGTGAAAGATGGTGGTGACAGAGTTGGCGGTGTTGGTCACCTCCACACACTCTAAGTACCATCCACTGTTGGGGTGGCTGCAGTCGTGTTCCATCTTCACCCTCAGCAGCTCGCCGAGATCCAGCATCTCTAAAATAAAGCGGTTTGTTTTTCCTCGCTCAAAAAGGTTACGGAACTTCTGCTTCAGAGCACGCTGGCCCGAGTCCCCGTTGACTCCATAGAGGGTAATGAAGACGTTGGCGTCTGTGCCTGCTCCTTTTATGTCCCCCGTGATGACAATGATTTCATACTTGACGGGAACAAGGTTGCGGACTTTGCTCGCAAAACTCTCAACGGACCTGCAGCATTCAAAGGTCAGGAACTGGTCCTTTTTGGCTGCCAGAGGGATTTGTGCATCACACTGGAAGTAATATCTAAATGGGCAAAAAGTGGTTGTCACACTAATGCCTGTAATATTTATTTTAGATTATATATAAAATTATACAACCTACAGTATCTGTTAAAAGCTTAAAGCACTTACTTGTTTCCCAGCTCTTTCTCAGTCACCACCACCTCCATCACATGCCAGAACACTTCCTTCTTGGGCTTCTTGCCATCTTTGGTTATATGACCAATGGTGATTCCAGCGATATCCCCCAGGTGCTTGGAGGAGAACTCAAATGAGTCAACGGCACCGCTGTCAAAGCAGAAAACAGTGGCTTTTACTGCCTGTACGGAGCGTGGTCCTGGACAGCGAAGAGTTAAAACTGTCTGCTCTGCCTGAGAACTTTTTCTTTCTTTAGCACATGGGAGAAGATCTCCAGAGAGCAGAGGCCGAGAGATGAGAAAGAGAAGCTAAAGATAGAAGATGCTAAAAAACCTAGAACAAGTCAGGTAAAACACAACACGGTGAGGCTTCTCTCTGAACAGCACTGAACCTCGACTTTCTTTGACCGCCTACCATTGGAACTTCTTTTTCTTATTCTCCAGGACAAACTCTTTGGAACGAGTTTTTCTTCCTTCCAAAACCAACCAGACGTTTTCCGTGGTGGAGGCCTTGTCTGTGTTTGCAGTTGTTGTGGCAATTTCATATTCTGTGGGGTTGAGGGAGAGACAGTTACACATAAGTCAAGTCCCCTGAGAATTGTGTGGAAATCAATGAGTTAGTGATTCTGCTTCATCACGACTCACTGGTTTTATCACTGAGGTCTATGGAGTCGTTGTTGGCACAGGCCAGCTCTCTCATCGTTTCACCATCGTCATCATTCTTAGCCAACCAGCGATCACAGGGGAACCTAAAGGTCTGGTCCATGGCCTCATCTTTCACATCGATGTAGTCCAGGTGCCAACCAGCAGCAGGACCTGTAAACAGGCACGGCCAACTTTGGATGTTTTCATACTGTTGTTTGTTTACCACTACTAGTCTGATAGTCAAATGTTTAGTTTTAACAACATTCTGACCTTTCTCCGACAAGGTGTACAAAAGACATACATATATACATACTTACATACATATATTTATATATATATGTACATACATACATAAATATAAATATATATATACATATGTATGTATAAATATGTACATTTAGATATATACAAAACATAAGCTCAAAAATACCTTATATAAATATATATCAAAGCATCTGTAAAATAATGCACACTTGATTAAATAATTTTCCATTTAAACCAATATTTGCTTGAGCTGCAAAAACTGTGAGATAAAAACCATCACATTTACGTCAAACACATTTTTCATCAAATTAAAAATGTACCTTTGTTGTCATGCCACACCCGCACCTTGGACAGTTCACCCAGACTGAGCATGTCCCCAAACCTGAACACATCCTTCATTTTTCGCTCAAATTTGTTTCGGTTGGTGCTCATCTTCAGAGGCAGCATTCCACTGTCTCCATACTCCCCAAACAAGATCAGAAACACGTTGGCATCAGTGCCAGCCCCTTAAACACGAGAGAAACAACAGATAAATATGTCGTCACTATAACTGCAACCATAAATTCAAATATTTCAACAAAAAAATAATAATATAGTGTTCCGATGTGAGTTACCTCCGACATCACTGGTTTGGACTTGGACGATGTAGGTGGTCTTCTCCACCATCTCCTCTTCATCCACCGCTGCTCCCAGCTCACACACCTTTGTCCTCTTTGGCCCTTTGGTCTTTGACAGCCAGTTCTCGTAGGTGAACTCATAAACTTCCTCTGTGGTCAGGTATTGCATCACAATCTACACGTATTGAATAAAACATTTATTAAGATAAAATATATGTTTCCTTTTTGCTTGAGAGACCAAAACATGTTTTTAGGAATATTTTCATTGAAGAAAAACTGTTTTCTTATTAGTACTTAAATACAACTAAGGTATTTATGTATAATAATATTGCAGGAAATTACTATTTTATTTTAAAATTTCTTGCCACATCATCGTTACCCACTCTGTCAAGAAACCAATTAGGACGACTTCCAGTGCCATCAATTCGAACTCTGATCTTTTTCAGAGGAGCAATGTCGTCAATTTCAAGGTTGAAAATGTCTTCTTGGTCTCGTTCAAACCTTCATGTTCAGAAAATGCATACAATCAATCAATCATAAAGAGACAAACAATGCAACAATATGTTGTCTCTTGTTGACAACAGGAATTAGTTCAGCTCAGCACAAAAAAATGTAATTATTTCATTTGGTCACTAACATGAAGTCTACATATAGTATAATCCTCCTAAATCAGATCTGTTAAAAAACATTTGTTTTGATATTTTGAGTGTTCCTAGCAGGGAAGATTCAGGGTATTTGGTGATTCTATAGCAGCACTTTAATAGAGCACTTTTCTGGCCAGGTTGAGTGATAGTCACTTAAAAGAATCTATGATACAATACAATAGATTTTTAACTGTCCTTTTTAAACTCTGTAGTGGCAAGGCCTACAATTATATCCATTATCCCCTGTTTGAAAATCAACCTCACTACCTACATTAAAAATATATAGATGGACCAAAGAAACAATTGAAAATATAAAAGAAATGAACTGTGGGCCAAGGCAAAACAAGGTCAGGTGCGGCAGAAATGTACATGAGGTGTATCAAGATAGTGAGACAGTCAGTACTAAAAACTAATGTTCTTTTGGCCCTGTTAGATTTCAGTGGTTTTCACATTTGGTTTGAAGCTGAAAGCAGGAAGCTGCTAAGACACCAAAGGCCTTCCCAAGCACGCACACTCTGTCATGTTTAACCTTGAGATGACCCAAATGCAGGCTCAGACAACGTAAGGAGAAACACAAGGATTTATTTTTCAAGCGCACTTCCAAAGTAATCACAAGAATTATA